AATTCTCATAAGCTAGCTATCATTCCTCCTCTCTGAAAACCCCAGTAATTTCTTCAAAGCCCAAGATACACACAGCTATGAATAGGCTGTTCACCTCTCCCTGGGAGCAAGTGGTTGAAGCTCAGACAGTACAAAAATATTATTGCTGCCTTGGGGCATGAAGAGAGAGCATGAGCTAGGAGTTAGGTAAGCTGTCTGTCAGGTGCTGAATAGGAAGGTTGTCTGAGCACTGCTGAGCTCCACTACTTTCTCACCACCCGTGTATGCCTCTAATAAAGGTCTTCAGTGTCCTCTCAGAGTCAGGAATTAGGGAGTGTCTTCTGTCTCGTGTGCCACCTCCTGTGTTCCCCAGAAGAAGCTGGATTCATCCTGCTCTCACCACTGTGGCCCCCAGGCTCATTTCATTGTTACCCACTTCAGTAGACCAAAGGAAGAGTCAGTGGGAGCCAGCTCAGTGACCCTTTCTGTTTTTACTTTTCCTGTTATACAAGGCTTACACACAGAGTCCCAGGATGGGCTACAGACTCTGGAATAAACCCTGATTCAGTCTCACTGAATAAATGAAACTTGAGCCAGGCACTTCCCTTTAATAGACTTTAATATCTTCATCTATTAAATGGAATTAACAGTAATGACTATACTCCTAGAAAGAAAAGAAATAATCTCTTTCATGATTCTCTTATCCTTATGAGCCTGGGTTTCTTTCTTTTCTTTGCTTCTTCTTCTTTTTTTAATGTAGGCTCCATGCTCAGTGTAGAGCCCAACATGAGGCTTGAACTCATGACCAGAAGATCGAGACCTGAGCTGAGATCAAGGGTCGGATGCTTAACCGACTGAGCCACCCAGGTGCCCCTGAGACTGGGTTTCTTAAGAACAGAGACCATATCTTATTCAGATCCACATTTAATAAATGAGTAAGAGGTATTGTCATTCCCAGTTTATACCTAAATCAACAAACCAAATTTCTCCTTCCTCAGGCATTGACGTTCAACCCCTGTCTGCTTATGTGGTCATCAGGTACCTAAACAAAGAAGTGGATGGATTATTTTTATGCACTGCCCTCTCCCTGCCTCCTCATAGCAATGGTTTCTGAGTGAAATGGACTCTGTGAGTCAATGGGAAGACCAAGTCCAAAGTCCATTCCAGGCTTCAGGATAATTGTGAAAAATCAGGCACCTATTCCCTCCCTTCCTTTTGCTCAGGGTGGCTTTCTCAACACATGCCCGCAGTGGAAAGGGAAATGTACTCATTGTCATACCACCTCAGGCATGACTCACATTTCTTCAGAAACTTCGGTTTATCACAATGAGGCTGGCAGAAGGTGTCACCTGTGCCATTGATGGCAGTCGAGTGTCTGGAGCAAAATAGAGGTTCCAATGAAGGAAAAGGGGATTGGAAGCAATGCCTGGATCTGTCTTAGAAGGAAGCAGATGAGGTGGTTATTGCCATGAAGTGTGATTAAGAGCAAAGCCTTGGAAGAGTCTCTCTCTTCCTGTTCTCTGTCTCTCCACTAAAAACCTCTTTCCTTACTGATAACCCAAATTCCACCATTGGTGATTCACCACACTGGACTGAAAATTGCCCCCACTTTGACACTCTTCCTCACATGGGTGTTGAGCCTCATTGGCCTTGGAGCGTCTCTGTCCAGCTGACTCTGTTTGCCTCTTTCCCCATTCCTGTCAGATATGCAGCCTGCTCTCCCTTCCTGTTAAAGTTCGCACCATCAACTTTATCATCCAGGGCTCTCCCCACCTACTGCCGCTAGACTGCCTGAGAGGACACATTCTCCCCAGCCTCCCACTTCACTACAAAACCTCTTCCATTTAGGTTGTTTGTTGCCAATCTCTAAGATGGGAACTAACAAAAATAACAAACAGAGGAAATGACAGAGAAATCCAAAAGTCTTCCAAAGGTATCATCCTGGTTTATAGTTCCTGAGTCTCCTTCTGAGTCCTCATTTCTCCTGTACGCCTCATTTATCCCTCAGGATGAGGGACCAGTCAAACCTTCACATCCCTCCATCTCTTCTCTCCCTCTGCTCATTTTAAAGACACTGTTGGAGTTGAACAATAGAAGCTTTATTCATTCTTCCAACTAGTATTTATTGAGTACCAACATGTCCCAAGCACCACCCCAGGTGCTGGGAATACAGCATTGATTATAATGTTTACAGTCAAGGGAATGAAGACAAGCAATAAACAAGCAAGCCAACAAGTAGACCTGATCATCAGTGGCACAAAGGTGACCAGTGAGGGCTGTGATGAAGGTTGACAGGAGGCAGTGATATTTAAATTAAGACCTACAGGATGAGAAGAAGTCAGTCCTGGAAAGAGATGGCAGAAGAGCAAGACAGAAGGGGAGAGGGGAAGGGGCAAGTGCAAAGGCCCTGTGTTTGGAAAGAGTTGGGTGTACTTGAGCAAGAGAGAGAAGACCAATGTGTCAGCGATGTGTATAGGGGGAGAATGACACAGATGAAGTTGGGGGGTAAGCAGGGGCCAGAAAACACAGGGTCTGGGGGTTTATAATAACATGTTTGTTTTGATAATAAATACCAGGGGGTTCCAGAATGGAGGGACATTTTTGAAAAATCAATCTGGCAGAAAATGTAGGTGGAAAAATGTAGGTGTTTGTTTACATTTTCAAAAAGTGTGCCTTGATGGGCTGGTTAGTATCATTGTCATCTTAACTTGATGATTTACCGCTGAAGGGAAAGATGACACACACACCCCCCTGGTGCTGACAAAGCCTCCTGCAAGAATTAGAGGAGTAGCCTAGACCTGTACCCCAACTGTGTGGGGAGTTCATTCTTTCCAGGATGAGGGGTGCAGGAAATAGAGGAGCAGGAGCTAAGTCCTGAAATGAGAGAAGATACTGAAGGCAGGAGAAGCTGGAGTAGCCAGTGAGGATATGAAAACAATCTTTTTAATGCACCTCAGCATGAAACTTGGACCCTTGGAATCTCCTTTCCTGATAGTTCTGAGATGAGCTTTCTACCACATCCCCTAAATCTAGATTTTCTTTCCTAATAAGTCTTACGGATTATTGAACAGAACTGTCTAGACATCACTCACTTTCCCAGTTAGGTCTTAACCTTGGGAAGTTAAGCATGATTGGGATGGTATAAAGTGTTCAAAAAATTTTGTGTGTGTCAATACTAGAGACCCAAGAGGAGTGTGACAAACGAATCTGGCTGAGAATTGTCAGGTGATTGTCCTGGTCAGCGTGCTCTCCCAGTACTAGGCTCTAGGCAACATTTGGTAGGCTGATTTGCCGTTAGGATGCTAAATCTACAGAATGTGCTCAGAAGTACTATAAGAAGTGTCTGGGGAGGCACCCTCCAGATCCTGCCATCTTTCCACGGTGCTTTTGCCATTTCCAAGCAGAGGGAGGCTGGAAGGCTTCCAGAGGAAAGCTAAACAGGAAGCATATAATTTCCAAGGAGCTGACAGATAACTTTCAATCAGACCGCTTGGCTCTCATAACATTTCCGAGCTCATTCTCAGAGAAACACTCCCTCGTCAGCTAAGGCTCTGCTAAGAGGATTTACTCCCACAGCCTCGCTTGGCAAAGCTACACAGAAGACTACTAAGTCTGCATCCCTAGGCTTAATTCTTCTCCACCATTCCAGAATCCAATTTTCAACTGCAGGCTTGTCATTTCCTGGATACCCCACCAATGTCTTTCAGTCAGCAGGTCCCAAACCAACTCATCGTCTTCCCCTCTCCTGGTTTTCCTGTTTCTGTTAATGGAATCACTGTTCCCTCTGCTACCCTGGCTGGAAACATCTGAGTCATCCTTGACTCATCCTTGTCTCTTATTCTCTAGATCAAATCAACTGCCGAATCATGTAGTATCTATTTCCATGATGTCACTTGAATTAGTCCCCTCCTTCCTATTGCCGCCATCTCTCCTCGGTGTGGGTTCTTATTACTTCCCCCTCGACAGGAACATCCTCACTTTTCCCCTCACCAATAACCCACCTCCATACTGCTGCTGACATAAGGCTTCTCACACACAGACCGACCACATCGCTCTGGTATCGGCAGCCCGCCATGGTTCCCACATTAAATATAAATTGTCTTTTCGCTTATAAGGCACAATTCCTTTTCTAATACTCCATGTTCAAGGGAAATTTACTAATTCCTGGCATAGGACATGACTCTTTTTTCCTTTCTTGAACCCTGTTAGTAAATGATCTTGTGAAAAAGTAAGATCTTCTTATATGACTAAATTCTGTATTTAGCAGTTATATGCTTGTTTTATCTTCTCAGAAGCTTCACTGGTCTCTGTATTATTTGCCTCACATACCATGGGAGCACATGCACAGACCCGGCGCTGTTCTAAGAGCTCCATGCGTATGAAAAAATTTGACTCTCGTAACAATTCTAATTGTTTCCCCCATTTTGCCAGTGACAAAACTGAAGTGCAGAGAAGTTGAGTAACGTGCTGAGCTTCCATTACTAATAAGTGGCAGATCCAGGATTCGGATGCACACAGTCTGGCCCCAGAGCCCATGATCTGAACCAATGAACTCACATCATCTTTGCTACTTGCCTTCCTGATATCATAGTTGGGATTTGGCTGTGTTTTATTTTTTTATTTATTTTTTTAAAAGATTTTATTCATTTATTTGACAGAGAGAGACACAGCGAGAGAAGGAACGCAAGCAGGGGGAGTGGGAGAGGGAGAAGCAAGCTTCCCGCTGAGCAGGGAGCCCAATGCGGGGCTCGATCCCAGGACGCTGGGATCATGACCTGAGCCGAAGGCAGATGCTTAATGACTGAGCCACCCAGGAGTACTGGCTGATGTTTTATAACTGAACTGAGGTTTAAGGCATATGTCCATTAATGGTGAGAAATATCAATGGTAGGCTAAGTGTGCCAATGTAGGTTGATATCAGGAGCTGACTTAAGGTGTTTCCCAGGAAATCACTATGAAGATGAGAAACATCATTGTGCTATTTTTTTTTCCTACTTATTCTTTTTTTTTTCTTATTCCAGTACATGGGCTGTATTGAAGTACTGCAGTCAATGAGGTCACTGGATTTTGGAATGAGAACCCAAGTTACAAGGTAAGAGAACAAAAATGGGAGAGGATTTGGGGGCTATAGCTTAAAGTCAGAATAGTTTCTCCCTCCCTATAGGAATTTCATGCAAACCTTCAAAGTCACCATGGGCTTTTATTTATGGTTGGAAGCTAGAACATAGCCCAGTGACCGTGGATGAGAGGCTCATCATGTGAAAGACTTCCCAGTTGTGTGGTGGAACATCTGCATTCTATATAAGAACTGATGAGATGATGCAGTCATAGAAATAGCCAGTTTTCCGGGTACCAAAAGCATGTAAAAGGATGCCTGGATATTGAATATTACAGAACCTCAGGCCTGTTGAAGAATTAGCTGAAAAGAAGACCAGGGAAGAGCTTTCTGTATCAGAAAGCCCAAGTTCTCCCCATTTATGAGACATAAAACCTGCTTGCTCCTTGTCTGAGTCTTCCTCCTCTGTGTACAGTGAGTTGCATGGAATTGAACCAGGGGAGCCTTACCCAGCATAGGGGAAGCACAAATTAGAAGCAGAAATACAAGGCATGGGTCATTAAGGTCAAGTTCAAGGCAAGAACGGAAAGAGGAACAAGCATGTGCCCAGACTGGTAACTGGGAGAATTGTGAGGTGAAGGGATGAGGTGAGACGACTGGGTTGATGTGAGTGATTCAAGATGAAGCCTTGGGCATCTTTTCTACATGGTGTCACTGTGTGTCTCAGGGACAAGCCACAGTGCCAATCTGCATCTGTGGTTGCAGGCCAGCCTTTCCAAAGGTGAATGTTCTCATTACGAAGACAGGATAACTCTTCCTCATGCTCATTCCATGAAATTGTAGGCCTAGACAAAGTTTCCTGTGGTTCAAAGTTTTGGGAAAAGGAATCACATTGCTCTTTAGGAGAGTGGCAGTATACAAGAGAATATTAAAACTTTGAGAAGTCCTGTGTAGCAGTCTCAAAAATTCTATCTCAAGATTGTCTAAACCTGTTTGGCCCCAGAATCCTTCTTTTTTTCATGTAACATAAATGAACATCCCATGTATTCCTAGGGTTTCATGAAATGCACTTTAGGAAATGCTATTTTGGACTCACTAGGGTGCAATCTAATCTGTCTTCCCAATTTCCTCACCATTCCTTCTCTTCTGAGTTTTCTCTTTCCCATTCTCCGTCCCTTCAACTATTCTGCAGGTGACCTGGTGTCTAGATGACTTTCTCCCCTATTAGTCCTACTTTGGATGTGTCCAGGCTTTATTTTCATCCCAATGATCCTTAACCTGCAGAAAACCCTTTCTCCAATCCTGAGCAGATTACAGATGGGAGGAAGAAGGTAGCTATGCCAGGTACCTGGAATGGGGACACTGGACAAAGGAATGCCCACTGTCCTTACCTAAGGATGACTGAATTTCTGTTCATTCATCTACTCATTTTCTTTCACTCAACTATTTATGGAGTGCCCATTAAGTGCCTGGAGCTGTTCAAGAACTGAGGATGTAGAAACCTCTGGCCTCATGAAGTTTATGTTCTAGCTGGGGAAGCAAGACTACAGCAAGGAAACAAATAAATATACAATATAGTTTCGTGTAGTAGTAAGTGCCATTACTGTAATAATAAAGCAGGGTAACGGGATAGAGCTGTGGGGGGGCGCTTTTATTTTTAAACTTTTAAATTTTTAAAAAATTTGTGTATAGTTGACACACAATGTTACAGTAGTTTCAGGTGTACAACATAGTGACTCAACTTCTCTATACTTTATGCTGTGCTCACCACAAGTGTAGTTACCATCTGTCTAGGGGCTGGGCTTTTAAATGTTATTTTCTAGCTAGAAAAATATTGTATGGTTACTTAGAACATTTGGAAAGTAGAAAAAAGTATGAAAAAAGAAAATCACTCATAATCTCACCTAAGATAATGTCTACCAACATTTTGTGTTTTGGAATACCTTTCCGGTCTTTTTTCATACATGAACGTACGATGATTTTTATAGAAAATCTGGAAAATAGTTGATACTACTTCTATCATCTTGAGCATTTCCCTGTTGCTAAATATTCAAAACTATTATTTAGGTAATACAATATGCATAACATAAAATTTACCATTTTTAAGTATTCTGTTCAGTAGCATTAAGTACATTCATGTTGTTGTGCAGCCATTACTTACACCCATCTCCAGAACTTTCTCATCTTTCCAGATTGAAACTCTGTGCTCAATAAATAATAACTCCTGGGGCGCCTGGGTGGCTCAGTCGTTAAGCATCTGCCTTCGACTCAGGTCATGATCCCAGGGTCCTGGGATCGAGCCCCGCATTGGGCTCCCTGCTCAGCGGGAAGCCTGCTTCTCCCTCTCCCACTCCCCCTGCTCTGTTCCCTCTCTCACTGTTGTCTCTCTCTGTCAAATAAATAAATAAAATATTTAAAAAATAATAAATATAAATAAATAAATAAATAAATAAATAATAACTCCTCATTCCCTCCTCCTCCAGCCCATGGCAACCACCATTCTACTTTATGTGTCTATAAATTTGACTACTCTGGATACCCCTTGTAAGTGGAATCATGTATTATTTGTCCTTTTGTGACTGATTTATTTCATTTAATACAATGTCCTCAAGATTTCGAACAAGACCAAACAATATAACTGTTTTGAAGGCATTTGATGTGTATTGCTAAATCATTCTGCAGAAGAACTGACTAGATATTCTCTCTCAGCCATGTAGTATCTTTTATTTTTAGTATCGATTTTTTTAAATCTTTGTGAACTTGGAAGTCTATAGTGTCCTATTGTTTAGTAAATGGTAAAAGATTATTTTTTCTATGCCATGAAGATTCAGTTTATAATTAATGTACACACCCAAGGGGAGGTGCCTGGCATGGTATCTGGATGTTATTCCTTGTAGATTTGTCCATGTATGATTCAGGTATGGCACATTGTGCTCTGGGCAGAGTTGTGCAAGCTCAAGGATTTCTCTGAAATCTCTAATTCCTACCCTGTTTCCCAAATATTTATTTTGCTTCCTTCTCTTTTAATTTTTCCGTCTTTATCTCATTCTCCTCTCTTCTCTCAACTTCCATGTATTTTGACATTTGGCCACTTTTCAAGTTGTGTTGTTACCAGCTGTCTTGGATGTTATCATTAAAACACTAGGTTTAATCAGGTTTTGAGTTATTTTAAATTTAAAGTTCACATATTCACCAAGTTTCATTTAACTCATAATCCTACTTAATCTGAGAAGAAAAATTTCACTGGACTGGTTACAATTCCAAAAGAAAGAACTTTATTTTGTGTGACCACAGCTATCTCCCTACCTTTACCATCAAACATAAACATAAAATCAATCAGGGCTGAATGCTGATAAACTAGTGTATCTAATTGCCACTATAGATACAAACTGTATTTCAGGCTGATGTCCCACCCATGGTACATGGTCTCACCATCCCTAAATTAGTTAATACATTATTCCAGACAATGGGGAGACAGCAACGGGACATTCCTGATGAGGAAGGAGGAGCCATGATTAAGATCTAACAGGTGGGTCAGCATTTGAAACAGAGAAGAAAGTTGGAGTAGAATTCGTGTCTTCATGACGGACTTTTCTGCCAATTGTTTGGGGCTGAATGCACAGGATTTCTAGAACACAGAGAGTACTCAAATAGAGCAGAGAAAAAAGAAAAGGGCAAGAGGCGATTCACTTTCTCAGCAGTTCCCTGGATCACACCTCTTTCAAAGTTTCCATCATACAACCCCCCGCCTTGACTCCAGATTTAGTCCCCAAAGGAGCCCTGTGGGTGGTTTCTACTGTTGTTTTGCCACTAATTCTCACCCAGGCATTTATCATTTTGACTGATTTAGGACCAGATCTCAGTTTTTAGTAGCCAGGTATTCATGCAAACGGGCAAAGGAGGAGGTTTTCCTGATAGAAAAGAGAAACAGGATCATTAGGACAACAAAGGCTCACAGCCACAGTTGTCTTCAAAATGTCTAGAAAACAATATCAAGAGGAAATGAGAGAAAGGGAAAGTGAAAGTCATGCTAAGGATGATATAGTCATTTGCTCTTTTCTAAAAAGGGTTTCTAGGGCGCCTGGGTGGCTCAGATGGTTAAGCGTCTGCCTTCGGCTCAGGTCATGATCCCAGGGTCCTGGGATCGAGTCCTGCATCGGGCTCCCTGCTCCTTGGGAGCCTGCTTCTCCCTCTTGCTTCTCTCTCTCTCCCTCTCTCTCTCCATCTCTCATGAATAAATAAATAAAATCTTTAAAAAAAATAAAAATAAAAAGGGTTTCTATCCTGGTTTTTAAAACAAAGCTAAAGAAAACAAAACACCTCATTCCATCTAAATCAGGATGCACACACACATGCACACACACTCCCAGAAAAATAACTCAGCTCACGAAAACCTAGCCTGTTTTCCCTCCTTTGAGTAAGCATCCAAATCATGCAAAGAAGAAAAAATCTTCCTTCTCTCTCTAAGGATGCCTCCCTCTTTGTGTCTGGGTGGGAACTTGCCTCAGATACCGAAGGAGAGAGAAACAACCGTTCAGGGTAAACCCAATAACTGGAGCTGATGGGACAGGGCTTGACTCTCAACCCTGAAAGAACAGAACTTCTTAGGAAACTGTTGAGGGGACATCTAGTTCATCACATTTATCACATAGCATCATTTCCTTCAAGGGGCAGGGCACACTGCTGGTGGGAGGGACCTCAAGATCGTTGTCTTACTACTCTGTCCTCCTGTATTTATTGCCTTGTGTTTGTAACTCATATTTAAAAATAAAATCAGCCGGGCTAAGCCCAAGACACCCAGCACAGGATCTGCCCATACCAGGCTCCAGGACAGCTGGGAAGCAGCAGCTGGTTGTGGGTTGGCTCATTCCTGTGATTGCCATCCCTGGGGGCCTATGAAGGAAAATGGGGAGCTGTTAGACAACGGGTGGTAAATGCTCCCTTTTTAGGGTCCTGCCTTCTTCAGATTCATTTTCTCTAGCTCATCGTAAGGGGCTACACCTCATGGATTAATTTATCTGCCCCATTCCATGGGT